CGCTTCGGATCCTCCGAAGTGAGTAACTATCACCTTCAATTTAGAATAAAGAAATCTTATCATATTGTGTTTCTTTCTTCTCCTTCCCACTCTACTCAATCTTACTTCTCTTACCAAAAAAATTAATCCTAATCTTGATGCCTTCATTGGTTTGTAAGTCTCCATGATCTGTGCTGCAGGTTAATTCTCCCAGTTGTGCCATGCCCCAGAATGCCAAGATAGCCATGTTCTGAAATTCCTCTGTTTGACAGGTGGCTGTATAGCATCAGAAGGTGGGTGATCATTACCAGTCATTTGGGTTCCTTCTTGCTTATCCTTGCATCCACTCTTGCAGATGCTTTCAGCATAAGTGAGACTTTTCTGTCTGGTAGTGATTGATATTGGAGGTTGTGGTAAGTATGCCAAGCTTTCAAAACATGGAGGTATTTAGTCAAGGTTACCCCAGAAACTTTGTTTGAGTTTTGTTCCTCTGAATTTGTGCCAGCCTAATAGCAGAAGTGATAGATTTTGTCTTCTGAGGCAGGTAAATCAAAAGGTCTAGTAATTTTGGTCCTGGTGAATTTAAGGAATTTCCTTATTTCAGAATTAAAGCTCTGTAGTGTACTACCTCTCCAGCCATTTAGGATGTGTTTATCTAATGGGGATGGGTTTTTCAAAGTGAGACCTGTAGATGTGAAGTCTTTCATATCAACCTGCTTTGTTCTAGATGCTTTTTACTAAATTATAATATGTATTTCTGGAAAGAATTCTTGGAAGAAGGTTTTTATTATCATGTGATAGATGTCAAAAGAAAATTTTTATGGAAGTATGATAGTTACACTTTTAAAACAACTTGGTCTAGTACCTTGTTTAAATCATCTGGTATTTCTATTACCAGCTGGTGTTTCACATTTTGACCTGATCTAATGCCCCTGTAAAGGGTTTCCAACTTTTTATCCTTAGATGAAACTTGCTTTGCTAGCAAAATTTATCCCTTCTTTTACTAGAATAGTCTGTATCTTCATCCACTCTGAATTGGCTTTTTTGTCTCTAGATTTCTTGTTGTTGATACCATTCTCGGTCTTTGTATTGTCCCTCCATACTACCGGGGTCCTACCACATTGGTTTTGTAGTTGCAGTAGCATTAGAAGCCTTAGCCATATGGAAACAGTCTCCAAGTAAGAGATACATAAAGGGTTAGCTTTGGGGTCATGTAACTTTGTTGGAATTTTGTCTTTTTCTTCTCATCCCTACAAAATCCTTCTATCACACCTTTCTGATTTAATGATATTTAGATGAGGAGTGACCAAGGCAAAGCCCTGTCACTGACGTCCATTGAGGACAGCAGGCTAGCAACAAGCCAGGCCGGTCCAGAGCGCACAGACCCAAGAGGGGACCCAACGATCAGACCGCCTGCTTGCACCTGTTTAGGAAGAAGGTTCAAGAGACAGGGTCTCTATGATCCCCCCAGTCTCCTCACCCTCTTCCACAAATCTTGTAGCTAGCCAAGAGCCATTTCCTCTCTTCTTCTAGCCCCTTCCCTTTTCTCCCCCTTTTTAATGTGTTAGCGTTTTTTCTTGCATCCACCCACCCACCCTTTTGTTTGAGGGCTTTGTGTTTGAGAACACCCCTCCCCGTTTGCACTTAATGCAAACCATTTTTACTACCTTTCCGGCCAGAATGGAGGCTCCTTTGGCCTGGCAAGCCATACCTCCCTATCTCTTTCCCATACACGCTCAAACTCTGGTTCCCCGCGGCAAGCACAAGACCCAGTTTTGAGCGGGTGTTGGAAAGGCTAGTAAGAATGGATGAAAACTTATTAATTTTACTGTGTCTTGTAAGTGTCTGAGTGGCACCTTTTTCATTGTCTAGTGCTGTAATCATTATCCCTGTAGTCTTTGAAACTGGGTCTAGTCTTTATCAATGATTATTTGCTCCTGTCATCTTTTCATGCATGTGTCAAATTGTTATTCATTTCAATATTCATTTTTCTTCTCAACCACATGTTTAACCTCTTGTAAGACTACTTAACGCCTAGTCTCCTCTAAGTAAAACACCATTGGTTCTCTCCTTCATTTTGCAACCTTTTGAGCTGTTCCAACAAAAATCAATTTTGTTGCCCAAAATTTTCCCTTCTACGGTCATAATTTCTTCAAACTTGAACTGTTCCCAGCTTTTTCCTATCAGTATACCATAACCAAACAATGTTGAAGTGTCTCCTACCCATCCTACATCTACTGGTGATCTGTAGTTGATTATCCTTGTGTGTTCAAACGTTTTGAGTGTTGCAATCCACAACTTTAAGTCACATAACACTGCTGGTGGGGTTGTCCTAAAAGCTTTTTGTATTTGCAAAGACACAAGCGACCTGTGTAGTGAACATAGATGACATTAAAACATTTCAAATGAGGTAGTATGTATGTGACGTGGTTCAGACGTCCAACTAGTATCTCAAGGTCTTCATAATCAAATTGCGCCTTCTTGACTTGAAATGGTGAAATTTGACTAATTCTTTTTCCTATTTTCCCATCTGGTAAGCATACTGTTTTCTCTACTCCATTCCAGACAAAACCTTTAGATTTTTGTTTGCCCAGAAATGGTGAATACTTTGTCTTGTTTTTAATACCCCAAAGCTTGTAGTATTAACCTCAGAGCTCTAGTTTCTGATTAAAGTTCCTTAGCAATAAATTGTTTGAGGAAGAGATCATTAACACCCCTCTAGCAGCTCTTTTTCTTTGTACTCAAAACATCATCCCCAAATTTTCCATTATTAAACTGAAGTTGTAACAGATTCATTAGTAGATAAATATGTGATCTAGGTCTCATAGAGATTAATTTACAAAAGTAAGATCTATCTTGGAATCAGCTTAATATTATTAAATATTGATTAAAAGACTCTGAGTCATTTGCTTAGTACAAACAACACATGAGTTGTAATAAACTTTCAACCTATTTGGCATTTGTTTCCCCCTCAAAGGATCTCTTGATACACATATACTTTACCGTGTCTATTTGTCCCAGGAGTCCTGCACTGTTCATGTGATTTTTTTCTCAATGTTTACTCAAACACAACCCATAACCTGTTGGGCCTTGTTTCTGCTTTGACTTGGCCTGGCCCATTTTCACCCTGAATCTGGTATGTCTGGATTGGGTAGTTATGTGGGCCACAAATTTGTTGGCCCTTCAACTGGTCTGATACTTTTAGCACTTCTGCCATCCACCTTGGGAGATCTTTCTCTATATTGATATATGAAAATATTTGTATGCATGTATTTGAGACTATTTGTTCATGTATTTGAGACTATTTGTTATGGCATCTTTTGTTCAATAATTCTCTTTGTGTTGGTCTCAATTGGAAATTTGATGTATTTTACCTGTGGATTCCATGTTGGTGATGGATACTTTCAATAAAAATGGCAATAGTCACTGTATATTTTTCCTATGACCACATCATAAGGCAAAAAGTATAGCATTAGGGCAGCTCATGACAGGCCCCCATCAGAAACACTTGTTGAGTCAAACTACAGTAATCAGCAACAGGCAAATTTTGTTAAGTAATTCAAAACCTTCCCCATCTCCTGATTTGGATCTCAAATTTTAACCTGAGACGTAGGCATAAGCTTTTTGAACTAGAAAATATTCTAAGCTTCAACACAAGCCAAGATTACAAGGCTTGCATCTCCTGGATGCAGTCTGTTACATTGAATTATTCCAAGAGTCATGAGACTATGAGAATAAAAAATAACAAGAATGCAGAAAGTAGAAATTCATAAACCAACACACCAATTGTAACTCAGCATCAATCTGAAAAATGCACATGCCAAGACCTAATCTTCCTTCTGGAAATTAGATGTATGAAATTATTTGACTCTATTTCAGCTGAGGCTCATTAAGCATTAACCATAGGTGTGGGGAAAGCTGTAATGAAATCCTAGCATGTGCTTAACAATCACTGCATCTGCACCTTCATCCAAGCCAAATAAGGTATGTGCTCTATAATAAAATTCCAAACAAGCAGCAACATATATTCCTGTTGTGTAATCCCTACAATGTTGTTTTTCTGTCAACACATTGCTCAGTGAACAGCATGCAATAAATGGTGCTATACAATTGTGAAATTTTCAAACTTTGTGAGTGTCCCAAGGACTTGTAGGACTTGCCCCCCCCCCCCCGGGCCACTGGAGTACATACTGCCAACAACTTCGAGGTGATCATCAACCACAAGAAACACGGGCCAACTCTTGCCTGATTTGTACTTGTATTTGGGCAGGGATTTTTCACTTCCAATCCGACCCGTCAAGGCCCAGTTCCTGAGGCTGATCGAGTTTGGACACGGGTTTTCGACCCAGGCCTGGCATATATGTATCCTCAGATGTAGGGCAGAGTTGCATACCCGCTTGCACAGCTTGGAGATCCTGATTACACAGCCAAAAAACAGAGATAGACAGAGATTAATTTTTGATGGGTTCCAAAGCTCCAAACCCAGTTGTGCGCTGCGCAGATACTTTCCTGGTTTGTTCTATCCTGACGGCAGCTGTCGGCCCAACTCAGCTATGATTTCAAGACCGAGCAGAAAAGACCCGTACAAAAAATATGTCAGGTCGGGCCGAACTAACATGAGGCAACTCGTGACCCGGTTCATTCCGCCTGGCTAAATGATGTGTAGCTCTCACTTTTCAAGCTGTATGCCAAAAAGGTGGCATAGGGCGGTATGCACCCGTCCATCTGTCCTATGCATCTTCATCGTATAGGCTATAGGGGTTCCCAAAAGTGAGTCATCCGGGCCTCCTCTTTCACCCTCCGACCTGAAATACAACAGAGTCACTTGAGCTTGTGAATTGGAGGATTTGTACTAATGTAAATTCATGAAATTGAGAAGGCGTAGAATATATTTTTTGCAGTTTACTCAGTTCAACTTCTGGTTAAAATGATGTGATACCGGCTCATCCAGACTATCATTTGACGGTGATGACAGATTTTGAACGTTGGTGAAAGAGTTTGAAGATAAGATCCCCATACGCTTGAATTTGCCGGCTCAGACCGGTAACCCAAGCATAACCGCAATTTACCGGCTCGCATCATGAATTCATGATGGCTTTGCCCGTGTCTAATTTATTTAGTTATACGGTTCTCCAACTCAGCTGTAATATTCAAATTGTTGAAATGTTGATCGAATAACAAAAATGAACCATACGCAGTAGACCCCCAAGCCACCACCCGGCCGAAGGAGGTCGGTTGTATCGATGAACATTTCATCAGTTGATACGCAATGGGCCTGAGACGTAAGTTGGAACTAGAGATTGTCGAATAGAGAACCTTACAAGAAATGCCTTTTGAATCTCTTGGGTACAAATTGTTCAGCCGTCAACATGATGTTCAGTCTGTTTTTGAAGCGGGCTTGAGCAAATATGTATCCTCAAGTCTCGACTGCTTACAACTTACGATTCAATCGTGGCCAGCCTAGCGTCCATCGGCAAGTGCAGGATGTTGAATATATTGATGAGTGATGCTTTGGCACCATGTGCCACTGGCTCACTGTTCGACAGGACTCCAGCTGACTCCAGTCAGCTCCAGTCCACAGTGTCTGAAGGATGTTGCGCTAGTCTCTCCAGATCCTCACTGTTTTTTTTTGTTGGATAAGATTTAAGATTAAATTCTTGCTCATCATTTTCTTCCTCATCTGTCCAACTGGCAACTCTTGATTCAATTCAGTCCTATGGTTGAATGACTATTTTCTTCTCAACTCAATTGAATTGACCGGGTACATACACCAATCTACAACACCAATCCAGGATTACTGCACCACCCCTGCCCTCCCGAGTCCCCACTGAATGTTCCATCCCTTCCTCGATCGCCACCGCGCGATTTTGTAAGTGTCCCGAGTCTCAACTCGGGTCGATCGTCGACCTATTCGCAGTATTATAATTTATCAGACCAACTGTAAATACGTACGCAAAAAGAGCTCTAGGCTCCAACAGGCTCCAACCATCTTCCAAACAACACGCGGCAACTAATTAGGTGCGCCCAAGGCAAAAACACAACGTTCAACCCATGCAAGACCTGGTTGTCTTAACCTTGCCTCCATTCCGTCAGGAGCCTTGCAAAGACACTCATGCAGGCACTGGCGGGAAAACTGAAATTGATGAGGGACCTAGCCCATGTCTAGCAACAGCATCCTGTTGAAGTGAGGCGAAAACGATATTACTCGGGCAAACCGATGACCAGAGAAAATACAAAAGGCTTTAACTGGCTGATGATAGACAAGTAAATAAAAATGAATCATGTTGGTGTTTATTTTCAACCTGGGCATTTGCTCCCAGGCCTCTCTTCCGGCTTTTCCTCCCGGTCGATCATAGCTGCCCGCAGTCAAGCTAGTCACGTAAGCTCTATCTCAATGTATCTGCATGCCACTCTCTTCTCTCTCTTTCTCTATCTTTCTGGCTCTTGGTGTTGATTCTTTCTCTCTCCCCCCTCTCTTTCTAATATGGCATACATCAAATATCTATTTAGGATTTTTGCGAATCTCTCCATATCTCTCTCCATGCATTATACATCTGATAATCAATTCAGTCCCGTTGAATCATTTACTGACTATCCTTTTTTAGTTATCCATCCGCTGCACTCAGAAAACTCCTTTTACAACAACATGGGACCCCATTGGGCCGTTCCGTATTCTTTAATCTGTAGCCTTTTGACTGACATAATTTTTTTGCCTGTCAGAATCCTGAAAGATCTGCGATTCATTCGGTTCCCACATTCAACCGGACGTCTCACGTATTATGTACTCGTAGGATCATAAAAAATCATCTTCTCCCGATTAACCACTTCTCACATCAGATGCATTGATATTCAAAGACTCAAGCCCAAATGAACGAGACATATCATCGCTTTGTCGAAGATGCTGAGTGATCTGATTGATGACCCTCACTTGAGTCCCCTTCGCCCTCCTTTCTATGACTCTATACTTGGCGGGACAAAAAAAACAAAGATGGAAGCTGTATGGCAAAGCCGCAGGATCTTCGGCCTATCCACTTGAGTTCACATTATGATAGTTGAAATTCGCACTACTCCTTGCCCAGCGGCAAGCTGGCCCGCCGCCCATAGGGTTGGACAATCATCTTTTGGGGTCCCTCTTGCCAGGCCGGCAGCAAAGACTCACCTGATGCGAGCGAAAAAAAAACACTGCTCAATGGGCTTTGGACCCATGAGTTCGAATATAAAAACAGCGGTTGTTTGCCTTCGTTCTTTCCTTCACCATCATCTTCAGACCATCATCGGAGCCTATTGCAGTATTAGATATAGTATTTCTTTGATAATATATATACTGAGGCTAAGGAAAACTCCTCCTGATTCTACTGCCTTTCCCAACTTGCAGGGGCGTTGAAGAACAGCTTTAGTCATAAAACAATCCCTGCTCCTTAATTGGTCCCCCTTTTACGGGCAAAATAATCTCTGGTTAGACTAGTCTAGATTCCTGTAATCCTTTCTACCTGCCTTGGCACGCGGGATTGCCTGTCTTCTGTTTACCATCACAAATATACTTATAGGATTGCCGTTATTGTCTGCTATTGCTCCCCTATAAAGCGCATAGAACTTAGTCTTAAACTACCCATTTATCAAACAGCAACATGAGCTCCGTTAGTGCGATGAGTAGTGCAGAGTTTCCGTTCTTATCACTACATCTTTTAAGCCACTCATTCTCGGGAATCTTCTTCACTCATCGATTCGACTTCGAGAACCTCATTCTGGGGGAACACTCCACCACCAACAGTTGGATACAAAAAAACGCCGTGTTGGTGTTAAGACGGTGGACGGAGTGGTTCACCGGGCCACATGGATTTTATATAATCAGTTTCTTCATCTTGGGCCTCCTTATCTACGACGCACTCCGACCACGTCCCTTGAATGGGATTCCAACGTCAGGTCGCTACTGTTGGGCCCTTGGAGATAGCGGTGCGCTCTATCGCCACATGAAGTTGAACAAAACGCGGACCACCTTCTTCACCGATCAAGCGAACCGCGTCGGCCCCTTGAGCCAAGTAATGCTTGGGCCGGCGGGGAGCTGGTTTGGAAGGCTGACCGGTTTGGGCTCCCACATCGTCGTCCTCGCCGATGGCCAACAGCTTGTTGAAGTGTGTGCCAAGAGGTCGCGAGAGTTTCCGGACCCAGGCTTGACTCTGGATATGTTAGTACCTCTCTTTTTCCGATTTTCGTTTAGCGTTCCGCTGTGTGTGTGTATGAGCCACCGATACCCCGGCATATCTGTATTCGAATGGCGTCTGCTATATGCGAAGTCTAGAGAACTAACGAACTTGTCTTGTTATCCTTGCCCCTCTCACCAATCCGATTGTCATCATGGCCATTGTCCCAATTTCTATGTACATCACGTCCATCAATGCTCTAACAGCTATAAGGGCATCATTCCCAATGGCCAATTAGCCCTCCCAACCGGTCCAGCATTCAAGCATCATCGTCGAGCGTGAGTTACATCAACATATATCTCGGTATCTTATCTCACTCTATCTCCGTTTTTGCCACTCCGCTTTTCTCTGTCCCACCGTGTGGGTGTTTCACCATTTACATCGCGTGGCAGCGGAGTGAAGCCTTTCAAAGTCCGACAACGATACATTTCACAATTATCACTCTTTGATACATATTTTTTGCTCCTACGTCATCCGTCTTTCAATTTAAATAGTGGTGACACAAACGTGCCAGTCTTTAACCTTAATTAACGAGATAGATATAAGATACCCTTACCCGTAACCCAACTGTCTTTCCCCATCATCTCAGATCACGAGAATTTACATCGTTTGCTAACCATTCAACTGTTCTCCTTGTGTGCTCCGAAACAAATGTGTTATAGTATAGCACATTCAATGTCCTCCTCCCACCTCTCGCAAGTGACTCCAAAAATCACCAACTCCGTCATTGAGCTCATTCAATTATGTGAGATCTACTCACTTCTTGATCTTGGAATCATTACTTTAGTGCTCAATCCTCTCTTGTGTAGGGAAAAAACGGAGTCAAATTCTCGATGAAAGTGGAGAAAAGTACTTCAAAGCAGCCCAAGATCTAAGGTTGAGTACGATGGTTAGTTTGATCATGCACTAGTCATGCTTCCTATGGCCCCGACTGACCACTGTGAAACCCTTCGCCATGTATCATCTTAGGATACCATCTCAGACATCATATTCGGTAAACCTTTCGGTGTGATGAGTGCCAGGCTTGTTCACCTTGAGAATTCCAATGGTGCCTTATCTGCGGATGCCAGGCCTCAGTTCCCGACTCTGGCGCGTGCCTTGAATGTCATCGTCGCTGAGGTCGCTCGTTGCTACCTTTCACCATCAAAGTCACTTTTCTGGTTCATTCAGAGACTTTTCAATAGGGAATGGCGTCAAGCCAAATCCACGGTCTTCGGCTATCTGAAGAATGAAGTGGAAAAAGAACGGATAACTCTCTCGGAGGAGCAAAGTTTTGGAGGTGCCGACTCCAAGGACCCAGATAATGTTGACAGTGTACTTTCGCTATTGGTCAAAGACGAGCACTTGTCGAAGTTGAGAGGCGAGAAACCGCTCAGCACGGTAAGCAACTGTCCATTTGATGATACGAAAAATACAATGCTATCCATGTACTCATTTTTGATTGCTATGACCTTGGTCCACAGGATGAGATCACCCAGGAGCTCCTAGTCTATTGGGTTGCTGGTCATGGTGAGTCGCCTACCTTCAAGTTTCTCTTGACATAAATGAGCCATAGTAACTAAAGACACTATCCAAATTATCATTACTATAGGTACAATGGCCTGTACTTTGGCATGGGCGGTCAAACTGCTATCGAACAATCCAGAAGTACAATATAAACTCCGCGATCAACTAGTCAACACACTCCCGAGCCTGAATGAACGTTCCCCGACCTTTTCCGACTTGAAAGTTTGCAGCTCCGATCTTGGCTATCTTGATGCGACCTGCTTTGAAATCCTGCGCTGCGGGAAAGTACTTGGAGAAGTTTCGCGAACTAGCCGAGTGGATACAATGGTGATGGGGCATGTTATTCCCAAGGATACTGTCGTGATGATGCCTCACAGTCGTCTAAGTAGTCCGCAAGAATCTGAATCCGAATTTCGACCGGAGCGCTGGATTGATGGTGATGGAAAATTCGATGCACAGCTTCCTGGTCCTCTGCATGTTTTTGGTCATGGGCAACGTGGCTGCTTCGGAAAAAATCTTGCGGTTAGTATTAATTCAAGCAACATGTTTCATAGCTTTGACCTCTTCTTAAGCTTAGTGACTTTGCATTCAATCCCAGGTTTTGGAGTTGAAGTTATATATCGCCATGCTTTGCATGGAACTATTCTTTGATCGAGTGCCGGACGATGTTAATTCTATGGACGCCATAGAATTGGTGGCTAATCACCCGCAAACCTGTGTTATTCGGCCGATACCTTGGTCAAAAATCAGCAACGACTCAACGCAGCATCTGTGAAACCCGACATCTGTACCATCAAGCAATAGCCACTTATAGACTCACCCCTCCATTTACATCGTTTTTTCCATGATATATTCATGTCCCTCTTCAACCATAGACTTCCCTCCTCATCCCATCACTTCGATTTTCTTTCAAAAATCTTTCACTCTGCAAACCAATTGTTACAAACCCAAATCTGAGCATCATCACAGCGGTTTTCCATCTTTGCATCTTAACCAAAAATACATGTTCTCCAGTTAGTTACATTTCTTCAGATTAATAGAAATTTAATGGGCTAACGGCCAAATTTTTTTGTATTTCCTTGAAGATTCATTCATGTTCTTTGGCAGTTCAGTTGATATAATAATAACTCACATTTGCCAATTTATTGTCTTAACTAATAATAAATTAAAAAAATCCGAGTGAGCAAGAAGTAAATGGTAGGGTTCGCAAGTGCATTTTTGCCCTCTGACCTCACTTGAAATTTCACCCGGTTGCTCAATTTTGACCCACCAATCAACTCACTAAGCACTAAAAGTTGCCAAGTTCCATGCTTAAGACTGAAAACATATTATGGGACCCTTGTATGTTTTTATCATACATTTATGAAAAAGGTGTGAGTATCAAAATGACATCAGCATAGCCAAATGGGATCTTGAATTATTAACTGTCTTCATTGATTTTGCTTCGTTCAGCTTCACCGATTTCATTTCTCGCACAAATCAATCTTGCTTTGTGTATTACATTTGAAAATTCCAGACTAATCCAAATTTAAACTCATTGTTTTATCCGCTGGTACTTCTAAGGGAATTTTTATCCTGGAAGATGTCAGCCTAGGTGATGCCAAGAGCTTGACTCTTCTAGCTACACCAGGTGCAAAGCTAAGAAAAAAGGTGTACAAGTGTGGGTAACACTTGGAATGGGAGGTGTTTGATATTAAGAAAAGAGATAATAAAAACTGTTAAGTTTTTATAAAAGGAGGGGCCTGAGTTACAGGGGTGTTTATGGTGCCCTCCAAGGAATCAGGACCTGTTAAACAGGGGTATTTTTGATGTACCTGATGATCTGGTCCTTTGTGGAAAGGAGTATGCCCAGACAATATGCCTACAACTGAAGTATCAAGGAAATATTACCTACTTAGTACTATTTCCAAGCCAAGGGGACTTCAGGTGGGTGAAAACTGGTCTGGGAGCGCTCAGAAAACTGGGTAACAGGTGTTGCAAGAGTGCTGGGAACAGTTGATGGTTGGGTTGGTGATATCCAGACAGAAACAGCAGGAACTGGGCCCAAAAACAGGTAAAAACTGGTTGTTGGAGGTGGTTATTGCTGGTAAATGGTAATGAAGATGGGGAATTTGAGTTTGTGGTCAAGAAGGGCTCCTTATATACTCATTCTGGGCCCTTGGAGGCGAACTCAGAACTCTGTTTGGCTGGTGTAAGCCTCCTACTAGGCATTGGTGACCTGTAGCACTGCCTAGACACCTGTAGTCCTTGGTTACAGGTGGCAGAGGGCTGAAGTGAGGCTTGTAACACACACTAAGGAGTGCTGTGACGAACCTGCAGCCATGGTTTGGGCAATGGGACCCTTTAATGACCAGTGGGCTGGTCTTAACCAGGCGTAGTTAGCCAAATTAGGCCAAAAAGGGCCACAAATGGCTTTTGACCAGCCAGTTACAGTTGTTGTGACAATGTAGTTAAGGTTTCAATGATGTCAACCTTATTTGTAGATTTTTCCCGAACTGCATGAACCTGAATTACATATGTAGACCTGTCACAACATGTAGTATGATGTAACTGGGAGGGTTTTTAGCAAAATGAGCAAGTGTCACTCAGAGTACACAGAAGTACCTGAAGGAGTAATAATTCAGGGGTACTTCTGGTGAGGTACCCTAGGTTATTTTGCATGAGAATTAAGAATCTGAAATAATATTCTAACTTTTGCTTAAGGTTTAGAGGTTATTTGTAGATTCATGTTAAAAATGTTTATTTATAAATGTTTTTGGTTTATTTTTACGTTTTCTTTCATGACTAGTAAAACTTTAATGTAATGAGTAATAATGTCTCTATTATAGTGATTCCACTTATTTAAATATTAATGTTTTTATATGTACATATGTAATAATGTCCCTATATTATGTACATATAAAATAGACACTAATTACATATGCTATGGGGTAGTATATGTAATAATGTCTCTAAATATTTATTATGCTGTGGTCAGGTTGTCTCTGAATAGTAGCAGGCTGACAGAAGATGTCACAAATATAGAGTTACTTATGAGCAGCGGTGGGCCGCTATGCTACGGGCCCATGTAGCGTTAGCGTAGCGGCACCATTTTTTCTTTTTTTTCGCGTAGTGTTAGCGCGCCGCTACGGCCGCTGCGCTACGCTAATTCGTAGCGGCGCTAACACTCGCCAATTTTTGGTGTAGTGTTAGCGCGCCTCTGGCGCCGCTACGCTGCGTTACGCTACGCTACAGCGTTTTTAGCGGCAAAAAACACCTCAAAACCGCTAAAAACTGCTGTAGCGCAGCGTAGCGGGTGGTTTTTTGCGCCCTGCGCGCGTAGCGTTAGCGCAGATGGGGGGAATCACGCTAACGCTACGCTAAACGCTAGCGCAAGTTTTTTCCCCATGCGCGTAGCGTTAGCGCAGAAAATGAGAAAAGCGCTAACGCTACGCTAAATTGTAGCAGTTTTTCGCTACACTATGCTACGCTAACGCTACGATTAGCGTAGCTGGCCCACCGTTGTTATGAGCTTGATGAGCCAATCTATTCCAGAATTCTATGATGGCAAAGCTATTTTTTTCCTTCCTCCACTCATTATCTGGAATTTTATCATTTTGGAATATTGCAATCTAATTTCTCATTCATCCCCAAAAACATTTTACTTTTTTTCCTTGGTTTTCAGAAATAAGTTATTAATTGCTGTTAACTTCCTGTTCTTTATTATCTTTGTACTTTTTATTTAAATATTCTTGATCAAAGATATGTAGTCTTAGAAATACATTTAGATGTAAGAGCTCTACCACTTTTCATCAGTAGCTTATCCTCCAAACTTTGATCATGGTGTTATTCATTTTACTCTGATCCTTTTTTTTGAGTTTTAAACTTGGAACACTGAGTTTTTTATTCAAAATGAAATTCAATGTCAAATAATATTCATCATACTTGCTACCCTGCATCAGCTCAGCCACTCAATCTCTTTCCTTCTTGAACAGCCAACTTCCCACTCATCAATCACTTCTTTCCCCTTCTTATTGTTGCTACCATTCATCATTCAATCAAAAACCACTGAGGCCATTAATCTCATTTTCTGACCAATCAATCTCACTACTTTGATTCAACTATTGTCCACTTCAAACAATTTGGAGGAGCTGGCTCTAGCTTCAGGAAATTTAGTTTCTTTCAATCTCTTCTGATTGATAATCATGCAATGTTATGACCGTTTCTATTTATCAATTTCTCTTACAGGCTGGTTTGTTGTGATAATCCTTGTGTTTTTTGAAAGTTGACATTGTTGTTATAATTTATTGTGTTGTGATTTTTGTTACATACTGATTTAATCTATCAGGTATTATTTTTCTGTTTTTATTTTTTGCTCTTTTCAGTAACAATTTACTTATATTTTTCTTATGTAAGACTAGTATATGCCCCCAAATTTGGGGAGGCTGAATGTTTTTGCCCCGGATTTTGGGTTTTACTTGATGACCTATGGGGTTTTCTTGAGTTGGACACCTGTCTGCCTCGGTCTGATGCCGGCGTCAACAAATCTAACCAATGTGAATTGGAGGTCGACGCCAGCGTTAGATTGCATGACAGCTTGTTTGGGCCTCTGAGGCTATTTTTTTAGTTATATGTAGATGTTTACTTCTATTGATTTAAATATACTATTTCAAAAGATGAATAAATTCTACCATTTCTTACACTTTTCAATCTGTTTATTATTGTATTAAAATCTGGTAAAATCAATCCAAGACTGTTTTATCACTTCACTAAAAAGCAGGTACAAGGTTTTCTGGGAATGAAAATACAGCTGTTCCCAAAAGCCTTGCGGTTTCGGGAGCGCTGTATTTCAGAAGAAATTTTTTTTGCGCCGCTCTCTCCTGTATGTGGCCCTGTATGGCCACAGTACTGCAGGCAAGAGTACCCAACTCCCTCATTTTTTGAGTTGAGGGTATGGGAGTTGGATCATCGTGATCCTCTCGATTTTTTGGTCCGGAGCCGGTCATCAGGTAGGGGCTT